TGCGAAACACCGTCTCTCGGATTGACCACTTCAATTGTCGCCGAGCCCTTTGGCTTGAGTCTGGAACCATTCCCCATGCGTAAATAATCTTGATCCGATTGAATTTGTACGCCGCGGCAGTGCTTTCTGGGCAAAATATTGATCGTCGCGCCTGTGTCTAACTGGAATCGCACAGACCGTCCCTCGATCAGAAGACTTGCATAGACACACTTCTGCGACGCTTTCCGAGACACGTTACCAATCGATTGTTCTGTGTCTTCTGTTGATTTGTCTGGAATGAGTGCACTGACATCTGTCGACTGACAGCAGCGGGCGAAGTGATTGCGCTTCCGACATTTGACACAAATGCGGCCCCACGCCGGACACTGTTCGCGGTTCCTCGGATGTCGTGTTGCACAGAAGTTGCAGGGCTCCTGTCGCGTGGTCGTGGCCTTCGTAGTTTTGCTCCTGGAAACGGTGCACAACTCTGAATCACCTGCGATTGTCATCTGCTGGAACTGATAGGCAGTGGAGGGCTCACTGTTACAGATGTCGATACATTGCTGCAGAGATAGGTGCGCTTTCGTAATAGTCGCTTCGTCAAACCTTCGTCATTGATCCCAAGAACAATGCGATCCCGTATGAGACTGTCCGCCATGCATTTACAGAAACTGCAGGATCGGGCCAAAATCTTGAGCTCAGTGACGTACGTGTCAACGGATTCACCTGGCCGCCTGTTCCGCGAAAAGAAGAGGTAACGTTGAAATGTCTCGTTTGTTTGGCCTTCGCAGTATTCACTGAACTTCTCAAGAACTGTCTCCAGATTGTTGGCATCTTCGCTCTTGTCGTAACACAATGTCTCTAGCACGCGGCGCGCATCATCTCCTGCTGCGTGTCGAAACATGGCCAAGCGGTACGCCATCGGTTGTTTGTCCAGACGCGATAAAGTGCAGAAATCCATCCATTTGCTCTTCCACAAACGCCAGTTGCTTGCCAAACTGCGTTCATCCATGTTCAGCGGGGCAGGCATTTGAATAGCCGGTGCAGCTCCAATCATCGTCTGGGTGGTACTAATGTTCTTCTCCTTCTCTGACACCATGTAAAAAGTCGGTCCTTAAGGGACAAAACGTATATTCTGCAAACAACAGGACCAGGCGAAAACGGAGACGAGTGAAACATATCGGTATATACAGCTAGTTGGATCCATAATTAACGACCTTTGTTGATGCATGACATTTCTCCTTTGATTCAGTCAAACAAACTCACTCCAATGCGTCCAGCTGTTTGCCAATCAGCGTGCATGCGAGAAACGTGTGAATGTCCAATCGGCTGCCGCCTTTGCTTGCGGCAGCCTAACGGCTTCATTGCTGGGCTGGCACCGCACGTTCGTTCGAGTGTATACTCCCATCACAGGGTAAAAAGAAAACAGATGGTCGATGAACAACCGTTATTTAAATGGAGCAGATCCCGCAGTAAGACAACAGCAGTACGCCGGTACACACAGTGCCCACGCTTCGATGCCGCGCAACCACCACCGGTCACATGTGGGCTGAGGATACTGTGTGAGGATCCCCCAGCCCCATAGGGAAGCTCGAATCCGCGCCATCAGATTACAAGACAAACTTGTTACTTTCAGGCTATGGAACGCAGTAATATACAGAAAAACAGCTAGGAACACAGACAGTCGGTCTTTCGGAGAAAAGCTAGGTGAACTTCAGTGCAAGTGTTAACGCGGACTGACAAAAGCAATCCGACTAGTAGAAATGCAGAGATCTTGGTCGTTAAACCGTCTGTGCTAATAAACGTAACGATTACGTTTAACAGTTAACTTGATAGAAGGAAAGTAGCGTTGGCTGCCAATTACTCTTGCATGGAGGCCATAAACTTCGAGGAGGCGAACGACGCTCCGAAGTGTCAGACAGACAATTTCAACCCGAGCAGTACATTTTGGGTGGCTCCTTTCTTTAAGAAGTCAATGACTGTTGGCTGAAAAGTTGACAGCATTCGAGTGAAAGCAGCTTGCACACCGCGTACGTCTAGTTGTATACTTGAGTAAAAGGGCCACTAGCACATTAGAACCTTGTGACAACGCCTAGTTGCCATGCAGTCGCAAACACTTTTCCGAGAGCATGGACACTGCTGAAGTGCCAAAGTGCATGCAGAGACGGAACTCGAACCTGAGGCGTTGTCGCTGCAGCTCAGGCGTCCGAACCATTGTAAAATGTGATCGGGTGAAGCTCCAGAACGACCGCTAGATAAAATGGGACCAAACTTTGACCAAAGCTCTAATAATGAAGGTATAGAAGCAGGTCACATCTGTGGCGTGGTCGCGAAGAGAGTGGGGCCCACGTGCGCGATCGTGTACTCCTCGCTCTTAGCTTTTTCCTTCGAAGGTATCAGCTTTCTTCTGCCTTCTTACACGTTGGGTGATTTACGACCAATCTTGGTTTGCGTTTAGTATTACCACACTACAGCTCATGGTGACTGAGCTCAACGAACTCAGGTCCTTAGTACATCAGTGTCCGAACGCACCGCACGGTGTTCGCCGCGTGACGATGGAGTGCTCCAGAGCGTTAAACCGGCGTGTTTTGGTTCCACAGTATGCTTCTTCTCATTCCCCACTTTGCCCATATCTGCGCGAGTGGGGGTGTGTGTTCTGTATTCATTTGTAGTCACGAGACAGTGCAACATCAGTAGAAAGAGTATCGTTGTTGTTGATGACGATGGTACCGAGTGCATGTGTCGGAGCTGAGTGCAATAGCAGTTCAGACAGCTTGATTTGTAACTATTGCCCGAGGGTTCGATTCTCTCCAACTGTATGAGTTCTGGCGCCCTGATCCTATCCCAGCAACTGTACAACCACCACCCGCTGCAGTGCAGTTGCGAAGCATAAGCACCTGGTTTGCTCCTGGTGTCATGAATGACCCACGCCCCTGAGTTATCACAACATTTGGGGTGGAAGCAAAATCGGGTTATCCGACTTGCGGATAGATGCGCACTCCGTTGTTGGATTTAGCCACACCCAGACGGAGAAAAGTAGTATGTAGAACGCCTTCCGCCACAGCTTCCAATCTTCAGGATCAGCTTAGAACGAAGATCTATATGACATGTATATATTACAAAACATATGATAGTTATGAATGTTCTCGTCAGGAGTAAAAGAAGGAACCTGTTATGGTACAGTAAACCACGGTGGCTTGTAAACCGCTCCGCTGATAAGAGTACCCGCGCACAACCAGACCACAGATCAGACAACCAGATGACGATAGCTGGAAGGTCATTGGTTCAATGAAGATCCCCTGGTGACCGGGACCGGTGACCACTCTCTTACGAGAATGCCTGTGCTGCAAACTGGACGGATGTATTACAATGTGGTAGTGAAGTGCCCGGTAGCGGAACAGGAACCGCAAACAGTCGCCTGGTCACACCTATTACTCAATGTATAAACAAAGGAATCGCCAGTTCTGTAGCCACAGGTAAGTATCTAGACGAAGTTGAAGAAAATAGATGCGTCTCCGGTGAGTCACAAAACGGCGAAATTGCACCAAGTGTATTTCACCAATGTCTGATGATCGTTTGGCTATGATAAACTCTCTTCAAGCACAACACAACAAACAAATTCATTAAGCAGTCGGATTGATCATGAGATTAACCGAGTGCTTACCAGCCGAGCGAACCTCCAAGTGCATAGACTCCAAGAGGTAAATAATGCGATCGATAAGAGCGCGATTCGCTGTTTCGCGTGTAGCCTGCGAATGAGAGTGCAGAAAAACCACCATAACAAGTTAGTTTATTAGATTAGTCTGACAGGGATCACATATCACATTTAGTAGCTCAATTGGACAAGCCACCGCCTACTAGTTGGTTTGCTACACGTCGCTCCAATAGGATGAAATGATCTCTTAGCGCTTTTTCAGATATGTGCGGAGGCTGCATCATTGGGCCTGGCTGCCATCAACATACGTATGTTCAACACTCCCTAGTGTGTTGTGAACATCGGATGTGGTGAATGAAAACTGCAGACAGAAGGCGCAATTAAGAGGGGCATGACGGAGAGCTAATTGGTGCCAGCGCGTTGCAGAGGACGGTTCTGAGAACAAGAAGTGAAGAAGAAATCTGCAGCGGGACGCCGACATACTTTACCGACGTTTTGGTGCCACGGAACCCCCCACAGGTTGCATGTAGACTGTGTATTCTGTGAAATTGTCCCCACCTATCAGATGAGAAGCAGTGCCATTCGAAGTACACGATAGACGCCTTATCAGTTTGGCCACCGGCCAGATAGTGTAAGAAGTGCAAACGGAACAAAAATACGAACTAAACGAAACACAACCATTCGCCCGGCATCATCGGCAGTATGGTTGAGGACAGCCTCGGCAGGAATTGGAGTTAAGATCAGACCGCGTTATGTATTTCTCTCGGAAGCAAGTGGGGGAAAGGCTTTCGAAAGAATGAATAACTAAGTGGAAGCTGCCGCCCTAAGAAGGGTCTCATTAGCCCCCGTGCTCCAATAAGCGGAACAGAATGAGAAGAGGCGGAAAGTGGACGAAAGTGAAGACAAAACTAGAATCAGACGAACAAGTTCTCCTGAAACTTTTCTCCCTCATTGATGACCAGTAACTACTCAGGTAGGGAGGAGACCAAATATTTCCGGACCCACCTGTAACGCTCTAATGGTTTGCAATGCAAGTTGCTGAGCTTTCGGTGACTGACATGGAAGGACACCGATGAGACCTTTGTACACTTGGTCGGTGAAACGGGGATTTCCTTCGGCCAAAATTTCCAACAAATTTCGCGCCTCTTCTTGTGTTTTCTCTGAGGTCGACTTTGCCATACACTCGGCCACGGCGCGAATACCTAGAGACACAGAGAGTGGATAGAAAATGAAGTCCATGAACAAATGCGCACGATTTAAATGCCAACCGAAGCAGTGTTTAACGAAGACCCACGAGTGGATTACGTAGATCAACGGAGGTGTGAACAAGTGAATGGATTACGATCTGCACTCCACGACATGTATCGAAGTAGGTTGCAATCATCAGACAGAGATGATAGCAGGACTGTGACTCGAACTCGGAACCTTTGGGATGCTAACCGAAACATCTAGGTCAACTAATCAGTGCGGACAATGCTTGCCACAACGGCAAATGGCAAGCGTTGCTCGTCAAGTCTGGGCGGCTTTTAAGTAAGTGTCGAACCGGTCTTGGGACGCAGTGTTGTGAGCAGGCAACGCCTACGATTTGACGGTTTCTGATATGGTCCCAGTGAATGAATTGACCAATGTTCACTTCAAAGTGCATTGAAGCTCCGAGGGAGATGGCATGTCGCAATCAGTTCACGCAACCTGTCTTTCAAAGCGACCCCTCCAATCAGATATCAACCCGTCTGTAAAAGTGTTTCGGAGCTCGCAGAGCTCCGCGAAACTTGCGCACATTTCCCCGGGTTCATCTCAGACAAACAATCATCATGTGGCGACTCAGACTGAGCTAGTAGCAACCGAGTCGTCTCCAGGGCATTGATAAGAAATCACAGTGAATCAACTGAGCTCTACTCAGAACACGGATGCATCTAATGTGCAAGCATGAGTGAACCCATTGAACTCTCCTCATGACATGAAGATTTCTATCGTGTCAAACCTCGATGAAGCACCTGAGCTCCTCAGTTGCTGCGGTAGTTAAAACACAAATCCACGTTCACACTAACTGAGTTTCCCACAGGATAGTACCAATGGGTAACAACACATGTACCTTACCAACATCTAACTTTTTGTAGAAAGTAGAAGCCATGATTAAACTTTGAGCTACTGAGGACTCGGTAGCTCAGTTGGTAGAGCAGCGGACCGGTAATCCGTATGTCCGCGGTTCGATTCTCCGTCGAGGCAAATTATTGTGCAAAGTTTAATTTTGGCTTCTATTTGCTACAAAACGTTACATACTCCCAAAAGCACCAATACTCTAAATCTATATTTTTGTACAATTTATGCATTACACTGCTATTCTGCTGAACTATAAATATGAAGGTGCAGAAGTCATGCTTCGCTTTGGTTGAGTCAATAAAAGAATTGCCAAAGGCTAGTCGTTTGTTCTCGTTCCCGTCTCAGTGTAGTCCTACTAGGTTACGCGTTTTCACCTCTAGTCTCAGCGTCTAGGTCTCGTTAGCCCGTAACGTTCTGAATTCCATTGGCTACCCCGCGTGCGTGGGGTTCTATCTCTAAAAAATTCCTCTGTTCCGACTAAAAGTCTAGACAACTAGGAAGCGATAGAACAAAGAGTAAACAGAGCATCCAGGGAGTCAAACAGTTTGCTTTTTACTAAATAATACGGGTAATGCGTAGGTACGAAGGATCGTACGAGCGACCCAGTCGGAGCACATGAATGAATAAAATAGAAAACGGGAGCAAACGAAGAGAACAAGTGTTTCGGGGGTTCAGTCATATAACCGTGATCCGTGATAAAGATCAAGGAACAATCCAAAAGAATTATGCAAAAGATATTGAAGTTGTCAGATGGAAGAATCACAAGTCGGATGCAGCGAAGCGAATGTATGAGTGCGCGATATTCGACTACGAGTTAACTGTTGGAACCACACGTTGCTTATCGCGACGACACTGGACCTTAAAGTAGTGTGATAATTAGCATAGTTCTGGGACCCACCGAGCTAAGCTAGGTGGCACTTTCCAAGAGTCTTCAGGGTTACTCATACAAGATACGTCAATGGTCAGAGTTTAGACAAACTTAGTCTCATCAACTATTTCGGAGGTTGCGGAGAGGTCGCTAGCCACCCCCCAGCAAAAGTTAACTATTGGAGACAAGAGGTTACGGGTTATAAGCTAACAGCTTTGTCTACGGTGGAAGGAGAAGACTGCAAGATGCTCAGCAGTTTGCTTCCACCCGTTGGGTAGCCCCTGGCCCAATGCGTTCAGACCCGCCAACTACCAGCTGCGGATAGCGGTGGTCGCATGTACGGAAAACACTACAGTTCAGTTGAACAACTATGATCCGAGCACCAAAGTGCGGCGGATCCCATAGCAAGAATAAGAATAAATTATAACGGCAAGATAGTGGAGCTAAAGGCGAATAGAATGTAAAGAAAATGGAAGCGAGAAAGAAGGACGTTACGCTAATCAGAATGACACAAAAAGTAACAACCAGATGTAAGAAACCGAATGCAAGGATGCTACTGACTGCGTGACTATGCAAAGTCTGATGCGGTCTCCAACCATTGGTGTGGACCATCCCAACGTCCCCATCCAGGAAGACAGCACGCACCAGCCTGACCAAGCCTTTCAGTCAATTTCTTCACTCCCCAATACCGCGTCATGGACTGGCCACTTGGCGGCTTCAACCAACTTGGTGCAACCAAGGCGTAAAATGCACACCAAAGGAGCCGGTCAACGGGCATACGGAGTACATGGCTTGGTTAACGCAAGCGAGTAAGATTCAGCGAACACTTGAGTGACGATCCAGAAGGCTTCACGCCAAAAACCAATTGGTGCACCTCCGCATTGCGCACCCGTTGTTTCCAGCAGACGTCAGCAATACTTCGCAAGTAACGGTAGTCAAACGTGGCCAAGTGTTTGATAACTTCGCCACGCCTCTGATCCATAGAGTATGACCGGCTTTACTGCAACGTTATACACCCTACCTTTCACTGACGGGCTGACATCCCGCCGTCGCCGCAGACGTTTAGGCCTATGGAAAGCCACAAGGGCCTTGCTATTACGTGAAATAACCCCAACAGTGATGCGACCATCAGAGATGATACAGCTTCGGAGGTAAGTGCATCGATCCACCACTTCCAATGGCTGTTCAATGATAGTTAGAACCGGAGGTGTGTCGGTCCAGTCCTGCAGCAGTACTTCGCACTTTTAAGGTGCAAAGCACATGCCCGAAGTGTGCAGCACTGCGCGTCAGTCTATGCAGTAGTGTTCGCATAGCCACCACGTCAGACCCAAGAAGATCTACGTCGTCCGTATACTCCAGGTTTGTCAGCAGGTCTCCTGGGAAAGTTTGAAAAAGATAGAACACTACGGTCGAAAGACAAGGGTGAACATTTGCGAATCATCAAAACCTGTGTGTGACAGGCCCCAAACAGATCATAATCATACTGTCGAGCTGGACATGATCCCCACGGCCTTGTGAGTCAGACTGTTGAAGCAAAGGCTAGAGGTAGAGCACCTCGAACAAAACCCCACCCTCAGAATGTGCAGACAGGGAATGTGCTTTGTTTGTCGCGACCCTGTCGACAATATGCCCTGTTCCTGTTGTTCTCAAGACTGGTAACTCATTTCATCCCAGTCTATTAAGCACGGGACAGTCGCTGACTTTGCTGCTTGCTACCATCGGTCTAATTTCACATTGGTACTTTTAACATCTACATTCTGGGTCAGATCGGCTAATAGGCAGCGCTGATTGCCACTCTCTTCGTATTGATGTGTGCTGTCTTCGAAACACGCACACGAGAGGACAGCGTTGTGATCCAAAGTCACCATGTTGCCATTATTAGGTGCACATCAGTCCAAGACTGTCGGTCAATCTAAAGTACTTGCATGAATTCCGACCAGGATCTAGTGCGCGCGCATGCCTGGCACCCGTCATTCTCGCTTCAAAAAAGCACCTAATTTCTAACCTTATTACTTGCAACTTGAACATGCAGTCCGCAATGTAACGATATCATGACGAACTGGTCTACCAATTCACAGTGGAAAATGTGGTTGGTGGACCTAAACACTGAAGGAAATCGTCTCAAGTGTGCCATGTAGTGTGCCCACTTTGAGACGTCCAAACTGTGAGTGGGTCCCTCTGGGGTATCGATCAATTCGATCGAAGCACGGAAACAGGTGGTCTCGGACACTGAGTTCAAGTGCATCCGTAGCACCCTGGAAGGACGACGAATAAGATATTCTCGGTTTAACCGAAAATGTTGCTGGGTAGCACTATCCTGTCAGTTGAGAAAAAGCCAGTATGACTAATAACAGCTGAGTTTGGTACCAGCTCATCTGGAACATGGGACCAAGAAAGTCCCCGGTTAGTGAGAATACAGTTGAGTAGCCTGTTGAGTCAGGAGCAGTTCAGCTGAACTTCAGCTATGCAGCCGTCTACCGAATCATACGAACACACATGGGGAGTTAAGCGCACACCTTCCACATCGGAAGAAAATCCGTTTTCATTCATCAGCTTCAGTGGCTGGCGTGCCGAACAACCTCCTCGTGGTTCGGGATTTTCCCGTTCCAGCAAATGGTTCAGCGGCAGTGTTCCAGGACGTGATGGGTTTTCGTCTGGCAAGCGTCCTCCCTATAAAAAGCCACATATGTCCGTTTAACAACACTGTGACGTGACGGACGTGACTCGCCACTAAATAAAGTCACTGCCCCTTGCTTCATCCTGGCGAAGCATTGTATTCCAGCAACTTTGTGCTGTAATTCTGGGGAGCATTGGGCCCCTGTATGACAAAGAAACAAACGAAAGGCGTATGAATTGAGCAATCAGTCACCGGCTCCCAATGGGCGCGATTCCCTGAATTCGCTCCGCTGTTTTGCGGGCAGGCTATTCAGTCAAAGGCTAGGGGTGGTGTTCCCTAAGTCAACACCCTACTTCGGCTTGGGCAACCGGGTAGTATCTCGCCCTCTGATGAAACCATGGACTTTAATGTGTTGTGTTTTCTTTTACAATTTCTGTACCTTCTTTTGTGTTCCATGGTTTCTGATGGCTCTATTTCTATTCATAGACTGTTGCAAATATATATA